AGGTCACAATGAGAGCACAGGGAGCACAGAGCCGGCGCCAGAGCAAGTGGCAATAGTAAACTCAGACAGACTACCAGCAGCAATGGCACGTGTGATACAACCACACAGCGTGCGGGTGGGACGAGGGGCGCTCTAGGTGGGGTTTTCCTTTCAGTGTTTCCTTTAATACGTTGAAATTGCCCAGACTGGTCCAGTACGTCATCTTAGACCTGACAGTGATGCTCAGCGTGAAAACACCTCCCAGAGCGGCGGTGGGTGCACGGAACGGAGCTGCCTCAGACGGGCAGCCCCACGGCACATGCCAGCACCGCTGCACCACAGCAGTGGCTCAGAGAAAGCAGGACCCGAGGAAGGGGATTCCTGCGGCTGCACACCAGTGCAGGGTTGCTTGCACCTTATCTCACACAGTAACCTCCCTGCTGCCAAGCACAATCACTTCTAGGGTAGAACTCCAAAGTGCAATGCGCAACTGTCACAAGCACGAAACCAGCCCTTGAACCCTCGGCATTGCCACCAGCAGCACCCAGGTGACTGCGGCTCATGGGGAGAACGGCCAGCAGCACAGCCGGCAGCACTGAGACCTGGGGTTGAGATCACAGCCAGCCTGACTCCAGCCTGCTCCTCAGCAAAATGCTTGCTGAAGGAAAACCCACCTGCCGACCCACCGGAACCTGACTCAGAGGCCCCAGTAGCACTGACCCTGCAGGAAGCTCACGAGCAGCAGCAGCAGCAATGGCCGAGTGCCAGGGCAGGATGAGGCTGGCCCCAGTCAGAGCCGAGCAGGACCCAGGAGCCCACCTTGTGTGCTCGCCCCAGGCACCAGGAGCTGCTTCTCTCCCGGTGCTTCCTCCACCACCCCACCTGCGGGAGCGCGCCCCGCTGGCCCTAACCCAGAGCTGAGCACTACCGAATCACCAACACATCTTTATTGGTGGCCACGGCCACCCCGTCCCCGCAAGGCGCCAACCCCCATGCGCAGCACAGGAAGGGCCGGTGGAGGGGATGGTGTTAACGGTGACTCCAACGTGGTGAGGAGGGAAAGGGGGGGGCACGAGGGAGAGGAGCAGCCCCAGGTGCGGAGCGCAGCCGGGGTCATGGGGCTGGAGCAGCAGCAATGGTCCTGAGGCACTTGGCAGGAGCCCCCCTGAGCCGGGCTCCAGGCCTGGGGGGAGAAAGGGCTACTCCAGGCCTAGGCGCAGGGAAGCTGCTGAAGGAGCCCGGACAAGGCACGGTCCTCCTGGGCTCCTTCACAGCAGAAGGCAGGGACATCGAGCGTGGAGATGTGGGCAGCGGTGTCCTCTTCCCTCCACAGCAGCTCCCAGGACAGGGCTCCATGGCAGGGGCCTCTCCTCCCGCTCACTGGCATTCCGGCTGGAAGGAAAGGAGCCGTGTGAGCACCCGGCCTGCAGCTGCCCTGCGCCTGCCCCCTCCAGCTCTGCTCCGGGCCCCTGGACCTGCTCACCTCAGAGCCGGTGGCGCAGGCTCGCTGCCTTGGCCGCATGCGTCACTGCCCAGAAGCTGTGCTGGCGGTGCAGCCACTGCCAGGGGTTCTGGTGTCTCTGCTCCCTCCTCCGCTTTTTAACCTTCTTCACCTGTGCAGAGGCAGGAAGGCTCTGGGGGTCAGCACACGGTGGCCCAAGGTTCTTCCCACCAGCCCAGCCAGGGATGGGGCCAGCACCCACCTCCCCTCTGTCAAACTCCTCATCCCACTCATCGATGATGGTCTTCCTGCGCGCTGAGGCTGCAGACTCCAAGGCATGGCAATTAATTACCTTGTTGCGAAGCAGCGTTGTCAGCACGGAGCCCCAGGCAGGCCAAGCTCCATGGCTCCCGCCAGCACAGGGCCAGGGTTGGAGCCCCTCACTCCAGGACCCCACCTGGGTGCAGCAGCTCAGGCCCTGGCAGGGCTCAAGGCAGGGGAGCTGCGCTGCTGCTCACCCACGCAGGCAAGAAGGGATTAATTACCTTGTTTGCCGTAAGCTTTGTCCAAGGAATCCACAAGCAGCTGCTCCACCACTGCGGACTCCAGCTGGGTCGTTGGTGCTGGGCCAGCCCCAGCGTCACGTGCAGGCCTTTGGGCAGCAGGGCAGTGCCTGTGCCCAGCTCCAGCCTCCTGGTATCTGCTGCCACTGCGGAAACAGGCAAGGTGAGCACGAGGCAGAGGCTCACCCTCCAAGGCAGACCTCATGCCCCAGAAGACACTGTCACGACTAACAGTGTCCTGAGGGTGCAGGGTGCTTGGGCATACTGGGGCCTGTCCTGGGCAGGGAGGAGCTGGGGGTAAATTTTTATGCCAGCTGCCAAAGTCATTCGCACCACAAGCATGACACTGTGCCTCCACCCTGGAGGGCTGGTGGCTTGTCTGCCCTAATGGCCCTTTGGAGCACTGCTGTGCCGTCTCTGGTGCTTACAGGTCTATGCAGCTGCCTGGTGCTGCTCATCTTCCCCTTCCTCCCCTTCTTTTCCCTCCTTGCGGCAGAGGTGGGCTCCCAGTCTGGGTGGGCTCGGGGGGATGACATGAGACAGCTCTCCGGGGCCTGTGAGCCCGGCGCCTCCCCGTCACAGCTGGGACCCGCTGCCTCTAGCCCCTCCAGGGACTACAAGACCTCCGCCATAAGAAGTCTCCTCTTCTTCGGCGGTGGGCCAGAGACCTCCTCCTCGACTGCAGGAGTGCCGAGGCTGCTGCCGGCCTCGAGCCGCCTCTTCCTTGGGAAGGAGCCATTGGTGACCCGGCTGGGCACATCCCTGCAGCAGAGAGAAAGGTGGTGTGAGGGGTGGTCATGGACCAGCACTGCCCAGGGGGGAGGCTGGGTGCCGAGGGGCTGGGCTGGGGCTGGGGCAGTCCAGAGCAGGGGAGCAAGATGCCGAAATCACCCCCGAGCCAGCGCCGAGGCCAGAGTCACCTCGAGGAGCCCCCCGAGGCCGCAGGTGGCCTGGCTGCGGTGGGCGCTGCTCACCTGCACGTGCCCAGAGGCAGCAGAGCCGAGCCGGGGCAGCTGCTGGTCGGTGGGAAGCGGCTGCCAGCGACTTGCGCGCGAGGCCGCACGTGGTGGGCACTCCTGCCCAGCTTCCTGCCCTGCAGGGACTGGCACAAATAAAGACTTGGTGAGCTGAAGAAAAGAGGTTTCCGTCAGCCAAGAAGGGAAAATCAAAAGGGGAGCCCAGGGAAAGGGGACACCACAGGGGGAGGGAAGCGGGGTGGTGGAAGAGGAATCAGAAGTGCTTTTAGGTAGGAGCACCAAGGAAAAAAGGAAGCAAGGAAGTTTCAAGGCCAGAAGCCCCAGGGCCCGGGGCTGAGCCGCGGCTGCACCGCTGTGCCCAGAGGGCAGCTCTGAGCCCTCCTGTTCCCGCTCGCCCCACGGAGGGCTGGCGAGGCTGCCCTGTGGCCTCAGCAAGGCAGGAGCCACCTCTCCTGCACCACTCATGGGAACAGCAGCAGCTCTGCCCTCCCTCTGAGCTCCCTTGAGCACTGCCCAAGAGCAGCCTCCAGGACTCACCAGGGATGGGAACAGGGGCCTGTGGCTCACAATTTTCTCTGCCTCTTTGGAGACAGTGCCCTCAGAGCCAGTCAGGCTGGGGACAGCTCTGGCAATGGGTCTGTCCAAGCTCTTCTCTGGGCCGGAGAGTCTGGAAGGGAAGGGCGTGGGTTAACTGTGAGTCTTTGACTAAATGGAATGCTCTCGATCAGAGCTGCACACGAGAAACAGGATTCAGCAGCTCCGAGGAGGGAGATGCTCTTCATCTACTGCAAAACCATGGCAAGGGGCTGGACCTCTCCTGCACATGGTGCCAGCCCTGCCCCGCAGTGGGGTTGGGGGCAGCAGGCGCTCCCACCTCAAATAGAAGAGCAGGTAGGCCTCTTGCTTCAGCACCTCTTGGATGTTACTGTGGCTCACCACACTGTCGTTCATCTTGTACCACTGCCCGTTGCTGGCCTGCAGAAGGAGCAGAGAGAATGGGGTTGGGCTGTGTCCAGGGCCTCTCCTGGCCCGAAGACCAGCAGGAACCGCACCCACGAGCAGAGTTCCTCTGGCCAAAGCCCACAGCAGCCCAGGGCAGGCATGAGGACTCTACAAGAGTGCTTCCAGCAGTGAAGCACAGCCTGACCCAGCAGCTCCCAGCCCAGAGTGCCCTGGGCTCACCTTCACGTAGCAGTAGTAGTGCCCTGTGTGGCAGCTGTACCCAGAGTGCACCAGCACTGCATAGAGCCCATACATTACAGCAGGCGGGCTTTGAATGTCTCCAGGGAAGGAGACTCCACAACCTCCCTGGGCAGCCTGTTCCAGTGTTCCGTCACCCTCACTGAGAAGAAGTTTCTTCTCAAGTTTAAGTGGAACCTCTTGTGTTCCAGTTTGCACCCATTACCCCTTGTCCTATCATTGTTTGCCACTGAGTAGAGCCTGGCTCCATCCTCGTGACATTCCCCCTTTATATATTTATAGACACTAATAAGGTCACCCCTCAGTCTCCTCCAAACTATAGAGACCCAGCTCCCTCAGTCTTTCCTCATAAGGGAGATGCTCCACTCCCTTAATCATCTTAGTTGCCCTGCGCTGGACTCTCTCCAGCAGCTCCCTGTCCTTCTTGAACTGAGGAGCCCAGAACTGGACACAATATTCCAGATGGGGTCTCACCAGGGCAGAGTAGAGGGGAAGGAGGACCTCTCTCGACCTACTAACCACCCACCCCCCTTCTAATACACCCCAGGATGCCATTGGCCTTCTTAGCCACAAGGGCACAGTGTTGGCTCATGGTCATCCTGTCGTCCACTAGGACCCCCAGGTCCCTCTCCCCTACAGTGCTCTCTAGCAGGTCGTTCCCCAACCTATACTGGAACCTGGGGTTGTTCCTGCCCAGATGCAGGACTCTGCACTTTCCCTTGTTATATTTCATCCAGTTATTCCCTGCCCAACTCTCCAGCCTGTCCAGGTCAAAAACTGTATAAAAAGATACAAGGCAGAAAAGAAAACTGCCGCGGTAGCAACGGAGAAACTAGGAACAGACGTCCCCGGTCGGTTGAAACCGGGGGAAGATTACAACTCATTTCCCCCAGCTCGCGGGAGCACAGGGTTTCCCCCCACCCCCCTTCCTTTTCTCCCCCTCCATCAGAAGGTGCCGCGGAGGAGGTGTAACCCCCTGCTCCCCCACCACCCCAGTTCCGAAAGTAGGGACTGTGAAAAGGACAGAGAAAGTACATTAGAAGGTATGCGCATGATAAAAGTCGAGAAATCCGAAAGAAAGCGGGCGGTGCCCCGGCGCCGGATCGATTGCGGCGCCATTTTGAAGCACGCAGTAAAAAATAGGGATCATGCGCGAGCGGGAGATTTAAAGGAGCCGCGCGCCTCGCCAGCCCACTATGCCCCAGAGTGAAAAGATTTTTAACTCAGTCACGGAGGAGCCAGGTCTGCAGATGTCTACATACCGAACGGGAGACATCTGATAAGAAAGACACAGCTGCAAGCAACGGAGACCCCGAGTTCTGCGCAGGATCAGCCCCTGAATCCCCTGAATCCGAGCCAGATTTATATCCTCTGCTTCCAGACCCTGACTCTTCGTCTCCCGGGTCGGTCTGCTCAGACTTACTGGCCCTGGAGACGCTCAGTTGTAACAATGGGTAACCAAAGATGCGATCATTACTGGGGAATTTTCTGCAATGGGCATCTTTGCATATCCTGTGTTTACTACACAGCAGGGGGCTAAAGAGTGGGAAGCTCTTGATCTCAATAGTAAGGAGGCCTGACAAACGGTGACCACGTATGCGTTAAAATCCTCTTATACTCAAGCTGTATATGTTATGATTTTTTCTTGCAATTGACACGGGGAGCCCATACAGTTTCTCTGTGATACTCATGTACTAGAAGTTGGTAAATATAAGTATGTCCAGGTTTCTGTCAACCCTTGGAGACCTCTGTAGATACTTCTGGCCACTTCTTCCAGCACAGGCTGGCCACCTGTGTCAGAATGAGTGTGCATTTTGGTCAGTATGAAAGCCCAAGCCTCATACGATGTGGGGGAGGCAGAGCCTCTGCGGGGACGCCCGCTAAGGTTGAGCCTGCCACCTCGCACTGCAATGATGCTTCTCGGAGCTGGTTTGCTGTTAGTCTCCACAGGGTCCTTGTGCCGCATTCTGTACGTGGGACTGTGTAGTGGGAGTAATAATTGTCTTTTTGTGTTTCAAATATTGAACTTGTGTGGAGTGTGCTTGTGGGATCCCACACGTGTGTGTGTGTGTGTTGAGGGCAATCGGTGTTTTGTGTATTGTTGGGTTTATTGTAAAAGTTTTTATGGGGTAGCTGTTTAACATTTTGGGCATGAAAGAGTTAATGTAAAAGCGTGGCTGCCGGCAGGTATTTATGGTTGCTGCTGAAGCGGCCAGGCGGCTGTAGCTGCTGCCGAGCAGGCCGGCTTTTGCAGGGATAAAAACAAAAACAACAAAAAAACAAACACAAAAAGGGGGGGGGGAAGAGCAATGACGCAGCAAACTCCTCGCCGGTTAACAATGTGCAGTTTAACCTGTCTGCTTCTCAAGAACTGATAACCTGGGGGAGTGGGTATATTTGTGTCCTGCCTACAGGTCCATGGTGACTGCCTGCAAAGTTTGTCAAGCCTTCCCATGAGCTGGACAGACGAATGGATAAACCTAATGCCTCAGCTACAGGAGCTGACCGTGATTACCCCAGGCAGAATGAGATGGAGGAAGAGAAAGAACAAATAACTGCAAAACATCACTTGGGGGCAACTGAAAAGTAACATCCTGAATATGTGTGCTTGTAAAATAGCTATTATTAGAGGTTGTGATTTTGTGTATAAAACCACCTGTATTTCCTAGCTAGTTGCTAATAAGAAACTGCACCTTGTATTGTATAGATTTGTCACTTGTAAAAGAGATGTTAGAGTATGGAAATTTGCAGTAGCTGCTAGAAAATGCTAAGGCAAAAGCTAGAAAAAATTTAATACAATGGTAGTGTTATAAAGCAGGTGATGGAACAAATTAAGAGGGGGGGAGAGTACCACTGGTAAGAAATTTCTTTGGCTAGTACTTCACTGCCATCAGCATCTTCAACATGCTGCTGCACCCTGTAATAGTTACTCTGCTAATGTAAATGTGTGTGTGCCTTGCTGTAGTAGTGACTTGTTACTGGATAAAACAAAAGGGGGGAGATGTGGAGACAGTGTTCTCACAGGAGAATGCATAATTGGTACATAAACTTTGAATAGTCCTGAAAGATACAGCAAGGCCATGAGAGGCCCGAAGAAGCTTAAGCAAGCAAGATAAGAGGCTGGAATTCACCAAGTTAATGAGAACTGTGGACTGTCGGCAAGCTTTCAAGGTTGAGTTCTCACACCTGTGTTTAACCAATTACATGTTAGTCACTAAGGGTCTTCAAAACATGTATCCAATCATAATATGCCAAATCACTGTAAGTGCTTCAGCTGGGGCCTTGGCTCAACTAAGCAGACTGGGTTGCTGAGTTGCTAAGCAGACAGTTCTACATCGAAGGCAATTTCTGATTTGTCTTAATGTTGACTGTAAGACATGCAACACTGCAGAACCTTTTGTTGTTGGAACAGGGACATGGATGTGAAGAGTTTGATGGAATGTGTTGTAGAGTCTCTGATTATACTAATTCGATGTACGTACAGCTGAGAACCCTGGCTCAGCTTACCCAGCAATAGTAAATGAGCGGTATTCTAAGAATAATTAGATGGTTGTTTTCACGGGGCATTACAGGTTGAGTCAAACACTGTTTAAAAGTATTGCACTTATGTATTATTGATTAGGTTAATCATCATAGCTGTTAGACTTGTTTATAGTTGTGTGATAAAACAGCTGAACAGAATAACCCATAATGCCTTGCTTGCACAAAGAAAAAGGGGGGAATTGTTGCAGAATGACTCTAAGAGCAGGACCATAGAGTTCTGGAGGACTGTGCAAGCAAGGCAGGGGGTGGCCCCCACAGGTGGCCGGAGACCGGACCTGGGAGGAGAATGTGGAGGAAGCTGTGGGGGCTAACCAATACTGTTGTGCCAAAAAGGAGTGGCTGAATACCACTCCTATATATGTGTGAACTGCGTCACAAATAAAGTAGAACTTGCTTATCACCCATATTGGGTTGGCCTGTCTGCTTCTCCTCGCCGCTTACAGGGTACGGCACGGCCTGCAGAGGAAGAGAGCATGCCTCAGGAGCCTGCACAGCAGACGGGTTTCCTGCTAGAGCAGGAGCAGCTCAGCTGTCCTGCATGTCCATCTCCTGAGGGAGCAGGGGCTGCCCTCCCCAGGCAGAGGTCACCATGACGAAGGCGCCAGGACGAGCTCCTAGCGCGCGGCTGGCCAAGAGCGGCAGGGCCACCTCCCACCCTGCTGCTCGCGCCAGGAGACAGCCCCAGCTCGGCACTGCCGAGCACTCACCTTTGTGATTTTCTCCCTGTCACACGTGAACCGCTTCAGTGAGAGCGTCAGAACGTTGGGGGCTCGGTGGATGCTGAAGCGTTTTGTTGCCGACACTCTGCTGTTGCATCTGCACAAGAGGAGCTGTGTCACTCAAGCTCTTCCACCACCCAGATGATTGCCAGCTCTGGCCAAGTGGCAAACCCCATGGAAAATGACCCTGCAGGCACCAGGCCCCTGCCCACGGCCACATCTGCTGGCCCAGGTTCTCCTCACGAGAGGACGGAGCTGCGGAGCGGCAGC